GAAATGTAGGCCAAGATGTCTTCCAAATTATAAGGCCGGAAACGGAACTCAAATATATGTCCAAAGAACTAATTTAATAATAAATAGACACACACATCGGAAAATTAAAAACTCGGATTTTTCGGCGCCGACGCCCATTTCCAATACAAAAAAAGTAGTAGTCTCCCTTGTTTTATCGAAGTATCTACCTTTTTCTGCTACCAGGCGTGTGAGATGTAGTTTTGTTACATAATTATTTTGTTCGCTAGAACCGCAGCAATTGTGAAAACGGAGTAAACTAGAGAAGGTTTTGGTAAATGTTGAGATTGATACCCGGGGTTTCCCATCATGGCGCCATCTCAGTTGACGCTCCACGTGAAGTCACGTGAAGTGTCAACCAAGATGGCGGCCAAAACGTAGTGCAAAACACGTGTTATGAGACCCCTCCCCCACTGTAAATACCAAAATCAGAAACAAATAAATTATCTGGGGAGGGTTGACCCCTCCCCAATTAATTTTCGTATATGGTACTTGAAAATCATGCGAATCTAGAAAGGTGTGATTAAATATTACGTCACTGTCACTGCTGTCGTCTTATTGTGGTCCGGTGTCCGGCGGTAAGTTCAAAATACCCAAAATCTTGTTATTATCATTTGAAAATTTCATTGTTTTTTGTTGCTTTTTAAAATCGTTCATTACCATGCATTTCTGAACCTAAACCAAAGCCAAAGGCCAAAAGTAAACAGCAACAGTTAGCAGCCGTAAAAAAACACATGGAATTTGAAAATGAACACAAAAATAATTATAAAACCAAGAAATAATGAAAACCCAACTTACAGTTTGATGAAATACACACTTTTAGTCCACTTTTACACACTTTATTACAGGTTCCAAATAAAAAAAAATATGCACAAATAATAGGAGCACAACTGCCGACACTAGTCCAACATGTTGAAAAGATGGTAGCAGCACAACTGCCGGCACTAGGCCAACCAATGATAATTTAAAATTATAAATAATCAACCAATTAATAACGAATTCAAATTTTAATAGGAAACACGTCATCATCACTTCCGCCAATTATAAAATGAATAAAGGGGAATGCACTCATGCACAAATATTTATTAAACACGCAAATGACGTCATGGGTATTAGTCTCAACAATAGCCAAGGTGTTTAAAATAAAATACATTATCCAACTGTTTCTGCACTGGGAAGTTGGATTTGGACATATTTGTTAATATCTAGTTAGTCACATTTGAAATATTGAAATATATTTTTAGAACCCACAAAACACTTAAAACAGCTCTATCCCTTAAACAATATATCCCCTCAAGGACTTGCTGTAGTTATTGAGTGTCAAAACGATTGCAAAAAACATTTTGAAATCAAAGCCTGGAAGTCCTTTAAAGAAGCACTGAGTAAAAAGTACATCCTTGACATCTTTTTGTCAAATGTTAAATTCAAAATCACTTTTCCAAAATCAAGTAGCTTGTGTAGAAGCTATGTTTTAATAAAATAAAAAGAGCAAATTTCTGAGTGCAGCTTTAAAGATGATTTGTGCCATAGGAATAATTATTTTAGTGTCATACCAATCAAAATATTTGATAACTTGTGTTTCAGAATGCATTTTGAAGACATTTAAACTGGAATGTTTTAATTTGAGCTTTAAAAACTCTGTAGAGTCCATATTATAAATGATCAGAAATTTCCGTGTGCAACTCGTTGTCATTGGCAACCATTCACAGCCACTTGCATAACGGCTATATCGTAGTACTATCTCAGAGTTTCATTCATAAGTGTTTGCCGTGTTGCACACGGAAATTTCTGATCATTTATAATATGGACTCTACAGGGTTTTTAAAGCTCAAATTAAAACATTCCAGTTTAAATGTCTTCAAAATGCATTCTGAAACACAAGTTATCAAATATTTTGATGTATATAGTGGTAATAATTAAATATTTCTTAAGTATCGGCAACTTCCGCCATTAAAAAGGGGGCGTGGCCCACGCCATGTCGAAATAAGGCTGAGCCCCCTTATGGTGATATGGGTCACTGGGAGAAGCGTAGCGAACGTGGGACACGACCTACATCAATGAGAATTGGCACAGATATATATCAATATCTAATGCCTTACACGATTTAATATGAAAGACATGTTCCTTTTATTTCACATAAAATTTTGTATTTGAAGATGCCTTATATATACCAAAGATTTTCAAAATGAAGTTCGATTGAAAAAAGCAAAATAGTTGGATGGAAATGTAGGCCAAGATGTCTTCCAAATTATAAGGCCGGAAACGGAACTCAAATATATGTCCAAAGAACTAATTTAATAATAAATAGACACACACATCGGAAAATTAAAAACTCGGATTTTTCGGCGCCGACGCCCATTATTTTTAATTTAATCTTGTTAAATTTTTTGAAATAATTTAATAACCAGTCAATTTTTAAGATTAAATTTTTAATAGCAAAATATGATTGTTGACATCAACTAATCCCCCCCCCCCAACCCTTGTCAACAATTGTCAAACCTTTCCAAATCCCCATCCTCCTATTTTGTTGGCATTATTAATGGACGACCCCTTGACTTAAGGCAAGGCCAATAGGCACTACGTAGCATAGCCAGCTACTACTAATTTAACTAACTTATTAATATTAACTGTTGTTAAAATGCATCCATGGTTAATAGGTCATGGAGGTTCCCCAAGTCAACTGACGGCCATAGTTCCATTTCTCAAAATATTTTGAAATTTAGCTCTTTGATATTATATTTTTTTCTAGGGTTAGGTTTTTTAGTTATTAGTGTTAAAAAACATTTTGTTTCTTAATTTTGAGTTGAAATTGTGGGGAGGAATTTTGGGGTGGGGTTTCCCCTCCCCAGAAAATTATGTTGAAACTTTAAACTGTTAAATTGTGACATTATAATTATATAAATTAATAAATGAGTGTCAAACAGGTATTTCATTTTCAACAAATAAAAAAAACAGCCATTTTTACCATGCGCACATCTTTTTTCAGTGTTTATCTTGGGGTATTGGCAAGTCAAACTCACTTTTTTTTTCTTTTGAAACTTGTTAGTTGAATTTTAATATAAACCAAATGGACAATTTCATTTTAACTTATTTTATATTAACTGTATCGATCGTCAGATTAGTTTTGGGCGCAAATAGTGCTCAATGAAGAACAGGAAAGTTATCATTCTCATTGTTCAGGTCCAACTGTTGGTCCTTTCACCCTAAGTCCAGTGTTGGGATTCCCCAAAGTAACTTCTCTGCGCATAGGGTGAGGCAACTCTTGGCAAAACCCATGCCGTTAACTACACTACACATTTGCCATTAACTACTAACACTAACTACTATCATTATTAATATCCAAAAAGTTAGTACTAAATATTACTAAGTCTAAGTAAGGGCAATAAGTCTGAGTAAACTAAAGGGGGTCACACTCATTAACACTTCTTTCACTCAGAATCAGTCACAGTCAGACACTCAAAATCCAATCCAGACCCACTCGTACTCATAGTAAAAGTACAAGTACTCAAGTACAGTACTCTCATTAATGATTAGTCAGTCACACTCAGTTACTCAACTGTAGATGTGCCTTGACGTTGTAAACCTGTATATTATATCTATAGTTTAGAGCAGCGGTTCTCTACCCGTGGGTCGCGACCCCTTTGGGGGTCGCATGACCCTTTCCCAGGGGTCACCTAAGACCATCAGAAAACACATATGCTCTACAGTTATGACGTAGCAACAAAAATAATTTTGTAGTTGGGGGTCGCCACAACAATGGGAACTTTATTAAGGGTCGCGGCATTACGAAGGTTGAAAACCACTGGTTTAGAGCAAAGCTCAGCAACCTTTTTTTAACTTCCAGTACACCCCAAGCATTCGACAGCGCACTGACTTTAATTTGTAGTATAGTATTATATTTTTTGCCTGTAGTTGTTTAGCCCTTTTGAGACAGAGCTTTTTTGGAGTGGCAGTGCCAAGAAATCGGAGCCCTTTTTACAAGTTCAGCACTCATATTGCAAAAAAAAAAAATATTAAAAATAAACTACATAATAACATGATATAAATATAATGATTAATTTAGTTAACATTTATTGTATACTTATAATTTGTGAGGATGTGTTATTTGAAATATTTGGCTGTCTAAATTTTGTGACCCTGTTGTAAATGCTGGTGTGCTCATTCACTGTATTTTTTCAAAGGATGAACTGGTAATTAAATATTAATTAGGGCCTATAATTTGATGTGTGGGAAATGTCAAAGAGCTACAAGGCTAAAATATTTAATTTTGACCAATCAACAGTTATTCAAGTTAAAGATTAATACAATATTTGATACTTCTGACTTAACAAACATTACTAGTCACTGGGAAAAACAATATGTTTATTTAGCATGATAGGCACACTTCAAAGAGGAACGGTGAAAGACTTCCATTTGAATCCAGCTATTAAAAATAAATCAATATCTATGCCAAGTTTCCACACCAGATAATATCTATTTTAAATCTACAGAAGGCAATCATTTTCATAAATGATTAATGATTGAGAATTCACATAAAATTAAATTTTAAAAGTGATAAAACAGTGACAGCTCATACTGTAACTGGTTTTCCATGAATTATTGACATGTGGATCAATAGATTAAAAAGTCATCATAATCGACTGGTTGGTTCTGTGTTTCCCATGTCATATTTTTTTTTAAAGTGCCAAATATTTTTACTATTCTTGTAGAAAAAATTACTGAAGCATGAGTTTTATTGGAATATAATGGAGTTTTGTTTACTTTGCTACAGGAACCTGAAGACTCCTCAAATAATAAAGTGAAAAATAGAAAACGAAAAATCGCATCGGTGAAGGGAGAGTCCTTAAGTGAAAATGAATTGCAAGCAGCTGCCAAAAGAAAGAAGACTAAAAAGGAAGGGAAAGTGAAAATTTCAGAAAAAACAGAGCAATTGACCAAGTTAGATATTACTGAAGAAGTTAAATTGCCAGACAGTAAATTAAATAGACAGACATGTCCTGTACGTGCAAAGTCTAAAGGAGTGTTCATAAAAAATAAAAATATAGACATTGTGGGGGGAGACAAAGAGTTGGAACAAGAAGATAAAACCTCAGAAGAAGTGCTGCCCAGTGGAAATAATTCAAAGAAATTAAAGAAAAAGAGAAAAGAAAGACAAAAGAAGAAAAAGCAGCTGAATGCTCTTAAAAAGATAGCAACAAAAGATGTAAACAACAGCACAAAAAACATTGAAACTGAATCGCCCCAAAAACTGGAAAGCAGGCCAAAGCTCGGTAGGCCCATTAATATGTAACTTTATTAAACATAAAAGTAATGGTTAATTTAACCTCAATATAATTAATATTGTTCTTAGTTTTCATTTCTTTGGTAATAATGTTGACCCTTTTGATCTGTCTAAAATTCAGATATGTCACAGTGGCATAACCTGTGTGTTCCTGATGAGCTAATGAAATCCCTACAGGACCAAGGATTTGAAAAGCCAACTGAGATTCAAACCATTGCCCTGCCAAGTGCCATTAGAGACAGAAAAGATATTCTTGGCGCTGCTGAGACTGTAAGGAAATTGATTTTAGTTGATATGGGCTCACTAGATTGTTTCCTGTACTAAAAAATTCAGTTTGCTTAATGGTGCATTTTTTGTGAGTTAATCTTAGCCAGAATGGGGCATCCCAAAATTGTTATTAGATCATAATCATGATGATGATGGTAGTCAATATTTTAGTAATTAGTTTTTCAAAACATATTTTATTCCTGATGGTTTATACACATGAATTAACGCTATATAGCTTTAATTATGTAAAAGTTTTGGCGGCTTTTATAAATAACCAAATTTCATGCTAATTTTGTGTTTGAGCTTATCAGGTTCATCTATGCCAGGTGGTTTTGTATTGCATTGCTAAAGTTATAGTCAGCCAAAAAAACTTGAGAAACTAATGGACTTTTTATTGCATCTTTTCCAAGGGAAGTGGTAAAACCTTAGCATTTGGTATACCAGTTTTAACAAAAATCTTGAGCTACAGACAAGAACAAAATGCTTCTGATGAGATACAAGATAATGATGAAGAGGAAATGGAGGAAGATGGATCAGATGAAAATCAAAACCCAGCAAAGAGCAAGCACTTTGTAAGTACCGATGTAAACATAGACAGCTCTAGCATTGTGAATATAATCATATTAAAGTTTATCATGTAAAACCACTCTCTGAAATACTCCTTATTGAAAGAATATCATTGTCTTATACTACAGAAAAAAACTAAAAAATCTCACCCTCTGGCTTTGATATTACAACCAACCCGTGAGCTGGCAGTTCAAGTGAAAAATCATCTGACAGCTTTAGCCAAGTATACAGATATTAAAGTAAGTCAGGAAGAACTTTGGGTCTCATTCTATCCTTGTCATAGTTTCATCTAGTATTTTTAGTTGTGTAACATGTTTTTTTATGATCACAGTTTGCTACGATAGTCGGTGGTATGTCAGTAGAGAAACAGCGAAGAATCTTAGGAAAACAACCAGAAGTTATTATTGCAACACCAGGACGGCTGTGGCAGCTCATAGAGGAGGTCAGTTTTGCATTTCCATTGCATAATTTTGTAAAGAGGACAACTATTTGTTCTCTATTTATTTCTCTGTAAAGAAAATTCAAGTGTGTCTGATACGCTACAACCGATAAGCATTTTCTATTGATTCCAAATTTGTATCCTGGATTCTGAATATGAACTTATTTAAAGGGAAATTGAAAAAAAATATTTTTTACAAAAAGTAATGTTTACAGAAGAAACAATTTAAACTATATTATTAAGTTATTGTTTTGAAATCATACTGAAAATTCTGAAGTGCAACCCTTTATTGTGTTATTTATACTGAGTGGTTGGGAAGCCACTGGTTTTCAAAATGATGCTGAAATTTCTTTTATCAATAGAATATTACAATGATCAAAATTATAACCTGAAGTCACAGTAAACCATGTGAAAAAAAGGAATCCCAATTCTTTATGCCTAATGGTTCTTTCTACACAGGAAGTTTTGGATTGCCTTTATTAATTTTAACAAGTTTCCAGACTGACTTGTCCCACTCTGGGTAATTTACATAATTCAGTGGAATCCTATTTGCACATCGAAGTTCATTTTTAGTCTTAACTGGCATTTTTTTGGTCTCCTCTGTGTCAGGATAATAAACACCTGAGTCAGGTGGATAGAATTTTGTGTTTGGTTGTTGATGAAGCTGACAGAATGGTGGAGAAAGGACATTATGAGGAGCTCACTAAAATTCTGGAGATGATCAACAAGTAAGCTGAAATATTTTGCTGTAATGTCATTACATCACATAGTAAATTTAGGAAAAAATGCTTTTATAAATAGAGGATTTAAAATTGTATATTTCATGAGTGTGATTCATAAAGAATTAGGTTTATATATAAAAAATTTGTGTCTGTTTTGTCAGCTAAAATTAAAATATAGATTAACCTTTTGCAGAAAAGTAATATATTAAATATTTGCAATAACATATTAATATATGTTAATAGTAAATCAATTTTGATTTCTTTGTTCACAGAAGCCCTCGCCGTGCGAGCAATAGGCAAACATTTGTAATGTCAGCAACTTTGACAATGGACATTGCAGCTCCAAAGCGGGTGATGACAAAGAAAAAAGGAAAGAAAGATGAAGGCGACAAGCTCAGTAAGTTTAGGAGTGGTTCCACGGTTGGTTTTAAAAATAACCAATTGCTCACCTGATACTTGGTGACATTGGGCAGACCAGTAAGACATACTAGTATTCTAATTTTAGGCTCAAATTTCTAAATATTTTCACCACATGATGGTTTTTTTGAGATGTCAAAAATAATTTTTTTATTAGAAAATTTGACTGAACGCATATGTGTTGGTCTGAAACCAAAAGTGATTGACCTCACCCCCAAAGATAAAGTAGCACAGACACTTACAGAACTGAGGGTTAATTGTAAGGCAGAAGAAAAGGTAATTCAAGTAATTGTTTAAACAGGGCATAGAGTTTTACTTATGTTATAAGTTATAACTTCAGGAACTGTGGAAAACCGTTTTTTTTACTTAGCCTTTCTAAACAAAGAAAAATGTTTGACAAAACATATGCTAATACTCAAACATTTTTTTGTCCCCAGGATTTTTACCTTTATTATTTCCTGTGTCAGCACCCTGGCAGGACGCTGGTATTTGCAAACAGCAAAGATTGCTTGCGCCGATTGGTGTCCCTACTTAACTTGTTGAAACGTTCCCCTCTCCCACTGCATGCTGACATGCATCAACGACAAAGATTGAAAAACTTGGACAAATTTGCAGGTTGATCATTGTGCTTTACAGATTTAAAAACTAACAGTTCATTAGCTTTCATCCGCTTTGATTCTTCAATACAGATTTGAAAACTAACAGTTCATTAGCTTTCATCCGCTTTCATTCTTCAATACAGATTTAAAAACTAACAGTTCATTAGCTTTCATCCGCTTTGATTCTTCAAATAAATGCATATTCCCTTAAAAGTTTTCTATAACCAGAAATTTAAGGCAAACATGAGATAACTAGTGTTAAGAAATTTAGTTTGGGGCTAAAGCATTATAAAAACCCTAGCTGGTGTAAGAGAGTAAAAAAAAATCAACCTTTTTTTTGTTTCAATATCTAGAAAATGACAGAGGACTTTTAGTAGCATCAGATGTTGCAGCGCGTGGTCTAGATATTCCTAAAGTGGATCATGTATTACACTATCAGGTGCCCAGGACAATGGAGGTACAAAAACACAATTGTCCAGAGACAGGAATTTTCTGATCTCATAAAAGCTCTGATATTTTGTTGGTTAATTGATTTTTATCACAAAATCCTCTTTTCATTTAAATAATATATCACAATATATTGTTAATGATTAAAATATAAAAATGTTGTTGAAGTTCTAGGTGTTTATATTAATATTAGTATATTAGTATGCTATGTCAATTCAATTTCATTACATGGTTGTAAAAAAAAAAAGTCTCAATAACTTTCTTTTTTAAATATTTGTGTTATCTCTACTTGTCGTTTATATTTTTCTTAGTCGGTTCACAGTAGTTGAAGAACTTATTTTTAGTCAAATAAGTGTTTATATAAAATTTTGAGCTATATTGACTCTGTTCTTTTAAGTCATGGTTGATTCATTTTCCTGATCCACTTTGACTTTTTTTGTTGTTTATTTAGAACTATATACACAGAAGTGGTAGAACAGCTCGTGCAAGCAATGCTGGCCTCAGTGTAATGTTAATAGGTCCAGAGGAAGCAAAAGACTATCGCAAAATTGTATTTGGTGTTAGAAATGGTGAGCTGGACTTGTTAAGATTGTGAATGGTGAAAACAATTGTGAATTAGAATAAGTGATTTTGTGGAGGAGAATAATTATATCAATGAGTCCTAATTCAGTTTCATTTTATTATTAGTGAGTGCTATAATATGTTCTTTGCCTTTTATATTTTGGATATTGAGTTGAGTAGTCATATCTGAACTCAAGAAACGGCAGAGTTGAGATTGTCATTCATAAAATTGGAAACTGCTAATACTTCAAATTAAGATATGAATTAGGATTTTGAAGTTATGGTGCATGATTTTGATCCAGGTGAGGAATTACCTGTGATGCCAGTGGAGATGGATCTACTTCCTGCTGTGAAACAAAGAGTAGCACTTGCAAGAGATATAGATGTCAAAGAATACAGGTCAGTTATTAATATTATGTACATGTTCAAGGGCCAATATCTTGGTAAGAAGAATCAATGCAACACTTTATGGAAAAACTAACATGGAAATAAACTTCTGCTATTGTACATGTACAAACTTAAATGTGAGGACATTATTTATATTAATTTTTTTTTGTTTTTGCAGAATGAAAAAGAAACGTCTGAGAAATAATTTCTTCACCAAAGCAGCTGAGGAAATGGATATGATTATTGATGATGAGAGACTGTATCCTTTTCCCAAAAATACCTGGTTAAATAATGAAGCTGTTATTTTAATATAGTTATAAATGATTATATATTGCCAAAACTAACTAGCAAAGAGGGAGTCACGTAGTGGCCTTTCTGTGGCTGCCGCAGGGTGGATGGGGTGCCGAGGGGCTAAAATAAGTTTGTTAACCTGTTCATTCACATTACATTACTTTGCAAATAGCTTTATTTCAAATTTGTCCAAATTTCATGTAAAAATCTGTATATTGTTTCAATGTGAAAAATTTGAAAATCCAAATTTTCAATCTCCAGATTATTATTATCCAGATAGTACTTTTTTAATGTATTGTATAACTATATTTGCTTCCTTGACCATAGCCCAGCCTTGAGGACATGGGAGACTCCATGGAACAAGCTCAGAACAAGCAAGAGCTGCGTCACAAGAAACTTCAGCTAGAATCTTTGTTAAACAGCTCATTGGCACCAATAAGAATGAGCAAGTACCCAACAAAATCTGGTCAACTGTCTATCAAAAAAGCCATAAATCTATATGACACTAACACCAAGTGACAGTATGCAAGTGGGTGAACTGTGGAGGAAAGCATGCATTTGTTATTGAAAATGGCAATGATTTAACATGGTAATAAATGACTGGGAGATCAATAACAGTAACCGATTAAGTGAAGCTAATGTTTAAAATAATTAAAGACATAACTAATTTTAAAATCATTAGTTTCTCACTATGCGAATTAATTTTAACCAACCATTAGCTTTTGCCTTAATGTCAAACAATAGATTCGGAGACATGTTTGAATTTGCTTCAAAAAATCTAAATAATCTCTCCTTATTATATGTTGATTAATAAGTTCATGTAAATAAAACATATGACCACTGCAAACTGTGTTACTTTATTATAAAGCTGAATGGGCTCTTTGAATGCAACGCAGAGTTTCAAAGCTTCATTTTAATTGTCTGTGCTTTGATTTCTTCCTTAGAATATGATAATTAAAATGTCATACTAGGAAACACATTTAGGATCACTTAGTAAACTGAAGAGCATATACTTCCTGTACCGGTATTTGCAGACACAGGCACAGAATTCTCCTTATTAACTTAGTTTGTTTTCATGTACGTTTTCATGTACGTAGTGTCCTCCATTTCATATTAGCCCATGTGAAATTTTTAAAATTTAATTGCGAATCATCATCTTCAATGTTTGTCCTTATTGCAGTTGAAAGCAATTCATGTCAAACTGTTGAGCTTTTAAATAAATACATTTTTTAGAAAATAGCAACCCCACCAAAGTCTATAGCTTTAAAGCCCATTATGCTTTCAAATGGCAAAGACTTTAGCTAAGTGAATTCAAATTAGTATAAAAATAAAAATAACCTAAGACAAGTTTTATGTGAAAATAAAATATACATATATTTTAACCCCAAGCTTGCACATGCTATAGCAATCAAAGGCTCCTTCAACTTCTTTAAAAATGATTAATTTGACTAAATTTATTTTATGGCCTGTCCTGTTAGATGCAAACATTAAGTTGCTGGATAAGTTTTTCAGCTGTGATTAAAGTTTGTTTTCAATTATTAGTAAGGGTTAATTTTCTTCTTGAGATGCCTGTGTCTTTTAACTAAAATAGTCTAATAATGTATTTCTTGACTTTACTAATATTTTTAGGCTAAACTAAAACAAAATCATTTGAAAAGTTACAGGGATATTTTCATAAAAATAAACTAAAGCTTTGAGAATTGATAATTTATTTATTGTATGTATCCACATAATGGAACAAATGGACCATGAGTATCACTTGGGAGTAGATGACAAAATATTAGAACACACAATGTTTGAAAAATCTACATTGTCATTGGCTGGTGAAGCTGACCATTTTCTAAAATTAACTTCTATCCTACATTCTTTGCATTATTTATTACTTAGTGATAGAGATAAGAGATTAATAAATGGCAAAGATATACATTTTGTTGAAACTTTCCTTTGACGCTATGAAAACAATATAATATTGACTTTTTTGCCATCCTAATTTTTAACCCAGTGGTTCTCAACCTTCCTAATGCCGCGACCCATTAATACAGTTCCCCCTGTTTTGGCGACCCCCAACCACCCAATTATTTCCGTTACTACTTCATAACTACAGCATATATGTTTTCCGAAGGGGTCGTTTGAACCCCAAGGGGGTCGCGACCCAGAGGTTGAGAACCGCTGCTTTAACTCATTCCATAAAATAAGCACAAGAACATTGTTTAAGGGTAAATGTAGAAAGAAGAGGTATTCTGTCATAAATTTCATCACATGAAATACTTTAGCTTGATAAAGTAACATCCACTTTATTTTTGAGTAGAAGGAGCCCCTATTTTCAGCAATATATTACAGAAACATTTTGACAAATAGATGTTAACAATTAAAATTAATTAAAAAACAATTGATATCTCTTCAACCCAGAAATGTAGACTTCACTGTATAAAATGAAGAAAAGCTTGGGGGATTCTACATATGGTAGGTTAACACAGTTCATAACTGAAGGACACATCAATTTTTATATGCACAATAAATCATGAGAACCAGATGTACAATACTTAGGGGAATGACATTCCAGGATAACATTATTGTAATAGTAATTATTGTACCATTGAATGATTTCTATTTGATACACTCAGAATTTATGTTGTTATTAAGCAAGCATAGAATATATTGTCAGGTACAAAGTTTCTAATACAGGTCCATACTCATCGAGATGATAAAAAGTGAGATTCAGGTTTTAAAAAGTTGTATCACAACTTCACGTAATCACAACAGTGAATAAAATAGGTAGCATATCATAAATAACCATATCAACAGTACACTTGGCATTTCTTAATTTCATTTCACTGGGAAATTAAGCTATATTGAAATTGTCACAACTTTTCTATTAGAAAATCTGGCACTTTTGGTATTAGGTAGCACAAAGTTGCCAGATAGCTCTGGGATGACAACCAACAAATTATGCCATAATTGGTCTTTGGAATGTGGGGGCATGTTATCTCTTTAAGCTTCCAAAGAAAGGAAAAGAAGAATGTATGCAACTATTTAAAATAGATGTTTGCCTATTGCAATATGTTTCTAAAATACTGATCAATTTTTGGAAATAAAAATGCGTCAATAAATAAGGTCAAAGAGACACCATAATATTTATATATCACTACGATGAGTATTAATATTTTCATTATATAGTTTTGGGAAATGATTATCTTCTTGAATCAAATTTTTTAAGCTGTTGTCAAGGACTTGATTAAATCGGTCTTTACGAAATACTACTCAGTCTTTATGAAATACTACTCAGTCTTTATGAAATACATGAAACAATGTACACCAAAGAAATAAAAGGAAAGTTACTGTTAAATTACACTGAAGTACTACCTACAAGTGGTTTCTAAATGTCTCCATAAAAATACATCAACTCTCATTTGATTCTGAATTTTTTTTTTTAAATATAGTAAAATAATGTAATATAATTTAAAAAAGCAACATTTTTGTATCTTTCTGCAAGTGAATCAGATCCCATTCAAGACTCTCCATGCTGTGCATGTATATAGAATACTAGATGAGACCAATATAAACTGGGACCTGATAACAGAATAAACAATTATTGTTTTCCTTGTAATTTTATAATGAGCTGGAGGTAAGGTAGGGCTCACAGAAATAATATTTGGTCCATTACTAAACAAAAGCAATTATAATAGCTATAATTGAGACCAAAAACCATCAATCTGAACAAAACATTTGATGTGCCAGATGTGCAATATAAATGCAAAGCATGTGTAAACAAAACAAAGTATATGTAAATATACAATCTGACATAAAGGACATGTTTCTGTTTGAACAAATGTAACATGTTAGAAACATTAAAATGAAATTACGTCACAAATAAAATTTAAATAGTATCAAACTCAAATGTGCAATGGTTATTAATTTTCGATTAAAATGGTGACTAGTTTATCTGCATATTGACCTTTATACGAGCACTCATTAATTTCTAGAAATATTTGACTAACCCAAATATAATTATTTTTTGGTTGGTTTTTGACTCATTTTTTATACCCGCCTTGCAGTAATGAACGTAAAAAATCTAGTAAATAATACTTCAAGAACACAAAATGTGAGTCCATATATTTAAGAGGTATTTTTAACTAAACCTTATTTAATATTAAAAGTGCACCCAAAAGCTAGGAGCACTGCCTAGATTTATAATTGATTGAATTGACTAATTTTGTCATCTGATATTTTAACAACAGAATCATTGACCAACCTCAAATTTACAATGTATACAGATTTTATCTTGTTTGGTTTATTATTATTTTTATTTAAATTATTTATTACATTTAATTTTACTTTAAAAAAAGGAACTTCTAAGACTAATGCTTTAAAACCAGATCCAATATGCACGAAATGTTTACGAGATGACAAATAATCAAGTAGTATTTCTACAGATTTCCTATTCCCAATTCTGGGAATGTCCTTTTTTCTTATTCATTATATGAGCTGAATTAAAATATTTGCTCCCAGTAAACTTGCTTATTCATTTTTTTTTTATCAAACTGTAAATGCGACAACAATAATATCTTTGCTTTGTATTTTTAATGGCATGCATAGAGCTGAATCATTTCTTTAAAATAATTAAAGACATTTTCATAGAATTTTATGACACTTGAGGGGCATTACCTAAAGTCATCACAAACAATGTAACTGACATAACATTGGGTCATTAGTTTTAATTTA